AAATACACAACAACAATAACATGCAGATTGAGGTGGAGGTTGGGAACAGAATCAAAATGTTCTAAAGTAATTTGTTGTATTAGAAGAAGATAAAAATATAGATTACCTTCAGACCTTGACAAGTTAAGAACATGTGTTGATATTACTGAGTGGCCATTAAAAGTTGGGAAAAGTGTATATAATTTCCAAACTAGTAGAGAAAAAAATATAATGTTAACAAATACCCAAATAATCCAAATTAAACCACGAAGAAGAAGGAAAAAACAAATCATAGAACAGGTTGGACAAGTAGAAAGCAAAAAACAAAATTTGATATATGCATCCAAATAGATCAGAAATTATAATTATGATAAAAGCGCCATAGGTTTCAGTTTAAATAATAAACATTTTGGGGCCAGCCCCGTGTCTTAGTGGTTGAGTTTGCAATTTCCACTTTGGCAGCCAGGGGTTCTCGGGTTTGTCTCAGATGCGGACATGCACACCGCTTATCAAGCCATGCTGTGGCGGCGTCCCACAAATAGAGTAGAGGAAGATGGGCACAGAGCTTAGCCCAGGGCCAGTCTTCCTCAGCAAAAAGAGGAGGATTGCCAACAGATGTTAGCGCAGGGCTAATCTTCCTCATACACACACAAAAAACAAATAAAAAATAAACATTTTTTGAAGTGGATTGCAAAAGAAATCCAAATCTAAAACATGAAACTGAGAGAGGTTGAAAACAGAAGTGTAGGCAAATACAGCAATCAAATTCTAAACAAACAAGAGCAAAACATCATGCGAAGTTGACTTTTCATTCAATATTTATTGAGAGCCTATTATGTACAGGCACTGTTCTCAGCAATTGGGTATATCAGCAAATAATAGCAGGTAAAGATTCTCACGTTTCTGGATCTCTCAGTGTTTCGTGAAGGGACAGAAAATAGGCAAAAAAGGAATAAATTGGTAAATTATAAAATATATGAGATGTTCACTTAGATAAGAAACAAAATTGTAGAGTAAGGTAAAGAGGATCAAGAGTGAGAAGGCAGGTTACACACCAATAGTGTGGTCAGGGCATAGCTACACAGTCCTATCAGTCAAGGTAAAAAACAGCCTTCTGTTTATATCTACCACATAAAGAGATCACGGTTATAAAGGGAGTGATTGAATCACCAGAGAAAATAGACAAGTCTACATGTAGGATGACAGATTTTAACAAACATCTCTCACTCATTGCTAGAACAGACAGATGAAAATTGAAAAAGTACACAGAAAATTTGAGCAACGTGATTAATAAGCTTGATCTGATGAGCTATACAGACTATTTCATAAAATTTCAGAGTCAACTGTCTTCAGTATGCAGGGAACATTTATTACTACTGGTCTTATGTTTGTCCATAAAGAAATGCTCTAAAAATTTCGTAGGATTAAAATAGACCATATTTCCTAACCACAATGTAATTAAAACACAAATAAATAAAATGCCATGTGTTTGGTAATTTGAGGACATAGTTTTAAATAACTCATGGATTAAATAAGATATCATAGAAATTGATAAATATCTAGAACTAAAGCATAATTAGAATACTGCATTTCAAAGCTTATGAGATGCAGTTAAAGCAGCATTTACAGATTAAATTTTAGCTTTAAGTGTACATGTTAGAAATGAAGAAAGGAATGACAATCAGCAAAATATATATCTTAAACAATAAGAAAATAATAAAAATAAGAGCAAGCTAGAAACTGGGAGAGAATATCTGCAAATAACATATCTAATAAAGAACTTGTATACTTATTTGCTAAAGAGCTGACAAAGAACAGAATACATAAAGAACATTTGCAATTCATTAATAAAAAGACAACCCAATTCAAAATAGACAAAAGATATGAATAAGCATTATTGACATATAATAAACTGTATATAATTAGAGTGTATATTTGAATAAATTGTTACATATGTATACACCAGTGAAACGATTACCACAACCAAGATAAAGAATATATCCATCAGTCACAAAAGTTTCCTCATGCTCCTTGGTAATCCCTCCCCATCCCACCTACACTCATCCCCAGGCAACCACTCATGTCCTGTGCACAGATATGCATAGCAATGGTGCCTTGATGTGAACATTTGAGACATTGCCTGAGACCCAGATTCAGAGCTGAGACAGCATGTCTGTGTGGAGGAGGAGATGATGAGGATGATGAGGGTTTGTGTTACTGTCATCACCACCTTCTGCAACATGGCAATTTGTTGATTCCAAATCCCAGAGAATGCAATCCAATGTGGAAAGAATTTTAGATCATCAAGATGCTTTTTAACAAGAAGAAAGAACTTGAGAGCCATTGCTTTAGATATTCCATTTTTTATATTTGTTTATAAACATAGATAAGACTGCTGTCTTAAAGGTACATGTTGATTCACAACCTCCTCAGGAGGTTCCTGGCCTCCATAGGTGGAGGGCAAGGAGAGACTGAAAAAGAGGCAGACCACTCCAGATGGGCAGGTGGCGGGTTTAATAAAGCAAGGGAGCTTACATACAAGGCTTGTCTTAGGTGGCTGCTAGATGAGTAGATTTCTGTACCTGACCACCAAATCTTAAAAATTTATATAGAGGCCTTAACTGGGTTCAGTCACGTATACCATCAAGATGGTCTCAACACCACATTTTTGTCTCAAGGCTGGATCCTTGGGGCAGCTTCAGGGAGTGGGGAAGGCAAGCGAAATGCATATTCCAAGAATCGGGGGGGGTAGCCTCCAATTGCCCAGGTCCAGCTCAAGAGTCAACTGGTAGTCGTGTCCTCTCCATGACTTCCCCGAACACTTCACCCCTAGTGACCAGCTCTAACAGTCTCACATGTCCCCTCTTACTCAATAGGCCCTGAGTGGTCAACAAGGGGTTTCACTAGCATGGAAGTGGCTCATTGGGCAGCTATCTGGCTGCACTGGAGGCAGATGCCACAGCAACAATACAGGCATGTGCAAGAGAAAACACAGGTTGAGACAATAATTCCCCAAACCACTGACAACTTTTTCTGCCAAGAGCCCCATTATCTGAATGATTGATTTACTAAGTCCCCTAGGCTGGGGGTCCGATCAGGGCATGCACTTGTGTCCTCATGTGACTTAATAAAGACGACACATTAGCAGACTCATCAGGTATGAACACACAACATTCTGTTTGAATAATGGTGCAGGTGCCTCCTTGCAAGGCAGTAGTAATGTTTCAGGCCCTTCTATTCTGGAGGACAGCTTTTTTTTTATCAGAGACATTTCAGCATTCAGTAAGGACAGGTGTTGTTGGCTACCATTCAAGACTTGCTCTATGAATTTAGTAAGGGCTTCTATGCGGGCTAAATGTCCAGAAATTATGCAATTTTTAAGTCTATATTCAAAAAATGACTATTCAAATGAACTCTGGTTGTTGACCATGGACCATGTGCACAAATCTTGAGCAAATGATTGCTGCATCTCAAACACGCCTTCTTTGACCTCAGGGGCTTGTTACTCACAGTATCTCTGAACCTCCTCGGGTAGCATCGTCTTCAGAGTTAAAGACCAAAGTAGAAAGCAAGTCTCTAATTTATAGTTTCTTTTTGTTTTCAACCGTAAGCATGCCTTCAAGTTTGGTCATTCACCATATTCACCAGATTGAGATTCTGTAAAAATGAAATCCATTCTCAAAAAGCTGAGCTGTGATCTCTAAGAATGGTCAGAAGTTTTGCCACAGATGTACCGTAAGCTTGCCGTGAAAGTCTCCCACGCAGACGTAAAGATCCTGCCCATGCACCACAGTGCTCTTCACTGCCTGTCCTCTCCTCGGCACAAGGACGTGGAGACTCCTCAGCACAGATTTTTGGCTGGTCGAGGCTGGGCTCTGACTGACCTTGAGTAAACAAGGCCCAGGGCTCATAGGGACACTTCTCCCACTTCAGATAGTACAGACCCGACTCCACCTCTTTGAACCTCTGGACTCTGGGATTTATACACAAACACCCCTCCCTAGTAGGAATGTGGTAACTTCAAAATTCTCTCAGTAACCCCCATGAGCAAAGTGCCTTGCCCTGGAATCCTGCTCTTGCCACTCACTGAAACACACAAGACTTCAGTTACAGGAATCAGGATTGGCAGGATCCTGGGGTTCTTTTCTAGAGTCATCTCCTGCACAGCAAAGAAGGTAGTCTGTATGTAACTATGTGATTAAACAAGAGGGACTCCACAGGGGCGTGGAAAGAAGACATTTATTCTTTTCTCCTACTGGCCCTTCGAAGTGCTCCATCAGTGCCTCATGAGGAAAATCTTGGATGGGTTCTGCCCTAAGCAAAAAACCTCTCCAATCACTGTTAGTCACATTTATGTAATTAAAACATCCAACCCAATAATCAAACTCTGAATTTCATTCAATGGTAAAGCTTCTCCTTCCCCTGGCTTGTGCCTGCTTCAGCAGAAGGACCTGCAGTGTGGACAGGGCTTCCCCACACTGCCCTTCTTCTCCTCCTTCTCCAGTCACTTGCCTTGGTTCTGACCCTCCTGGGCAAAGAGCTAGGGCGAAGAAGCATGAAGTGTGGGTTTGCAGAGGCAAATGGAAATATTTGGCACAGACGAGATTTTTAAGTTATAGTCCAGGACATTTTAAGCTAGGATGGTATCTGAAAAAGAAAAGAGAGAAAAACAATAAGAGAATTTGTCAACTTCCAGATCTCCGTGAACCACAGAACAATCTTGCCAGAGAAGCCTGATGCCTCACTAACAAAGTACTCACTGATGTGGACTGAAATAACACACATAACCAGTGGTGCCAACACTTAATGGATGCAGGATTTCTTATTTGAATTTCCCTAAAGTGAGTCTTTGAGCTCTACGTGATACTTTATTGCCTGATTATGCCAATTCTGTAACTTCTTAAATTTGTTGGCATTGTGAGGAGGGACAGGTGGGGCCAGGGAGTGGTAGGGAATGAGCTGGGAAGATGTTTCATTCTGATTAGCTATTGCCACATAACAAACCATCTCACAATTTAGTAGTTTAAAACAACAAAAATCATTTATTTTTCTCATGAATCAGCAATTTAGGCAGGACTCAGTGGGGATGGCTCATCTTTGCTCTTTGCAACTTCATCAGAGATGGCTCTGTCAGCAGCTGGAGAACTCACGTCTGTGTTGCCTCACTTCCATGGCTGGCAGATGAAAGATCAGCCGGGGGAGTGGGTCAGTGACTTCAAATCCTCTGCATGTAGGCCTCTCAACGGGCAACTTGGGCTCCCTCATAACACGGTGACCAAGTTCCAAGGGCAAGCACCCCAAGAGAGCAAGGATGCAATTTTCCTATCGAATCTTAGAAGTCACATGGTGTTGCTTCACGTATCCACTATTTATCAAAGCAGTCACAAAGTCCATCCAATTTCAGGGTAGGGGACACAGATCCCATAACTCAATGGAAGAAGTAACAAGGTCAGATTGTAAAAAGAATAAGTAGGATAGAAGATACTATTGTAGCCATCCTTGGAAATTATAATCCTCTACATTAACAATCATAGTAAATTAAGAAAAAAATATGAAATTTACATTACTTCCAAAACACATGCCATATTGTTGAAAGCGTCATCATAATCCGATTAAAAACATCTTGGAATATACTACGCTCAGCCTCTTGCCTTATATCTTTTATTTGTTCATCATATTTCATCTTTAGTAATTTAATTTTTTCCTCTTTTTCTTGCTGTGGTTTATCAGCATATTCCTGTTCTACTAGTTTAATTTCATTATTTAATTGATCAGTGTAGATTTTCTTCAAGTCCTCTGCCCGTCGTTTCAGCCTTTCCTCTGTGTCCTTGTACATGGCATCCGAAAAGTAAGCCCCTCCATTGTTCTGCACCATTTTCTCCACCAGCTCCACCAGCTCCTGCACTTGAGCTTCCTTCTCAGCTTCGTCTGCTCTGTTGTTGAAGGCGCAGTAGCGGTTCCCACACTCCTGGATGATGTTTCTTAGCTTCACATCCGCCGCTGCTATAAAGTGACTTAGGCTCTGATCCTCCAAACTATCTTTGCGAGTGAACAAGATGATCATGTGATTCATGGCTGCCTTCCCAAAGAGAGCTTTGATATATGCAACGGTTTTCTGCTCTTCCTCTGTGTAGTGGCCCAGCTGCAGAACCACTACGATGGCGTGAGGCCCGGGGCAGGAGTAGAGGACACACTTGCTGATTTCCTCACAGGTCGTCTCCAGGCTCTTCCTGGTGTCAAAGAGCCCTGGGGTGTCAACAACAAGAAGGTCCCTGCCCTTCCATTCTCGAGATTCCTTTTGACAGGTCTGGGTAACAGCGTGGGCAGAAATTTTAGAAGCGAATACTTTTTTTCCGAGGATGGTGTTTGCTGTTGCACTTTTCCCACTTCCAGTTTTCCCTACCAGAACAATCCTCAGAGCATTGTCCTGAGAGTCAGCCATCTTCATATCAAGAGGCTCTGGGGCTTAGGTACTCACAAGACCTTAAGGTTGGGAAGGCTGAGAAGAAGAGAAAAAAGGGTCAATTTGGGTGCATGGGAACCATTCCCAACTCTCTTTTCTTTCTTTTCCTCCCTGAAAAATTGATAAGAGTCTATTATCGCTATTGATCCCAGTTGAGACAGAAAGATGAAACAGTTCAATCACTATGGAAGAAATAATAGAGAAAGTAGTTAAAGAGTTTCCCCACAAAAGAGTACCGGGTCCAGATGGTTTCACAGGGGAACTCACTTAAAGCTTTAAAGATCTGATAATCTCAATGCTACATAAACTATTCCTGATCATGTAAAAAAGAAGGAAAATTTTCAATTCTTTTTCAGAAGCCAAGTATAATATTGATCCCAAAGGAAAACAAAGATTTCACCAATAAATAAAGCTACTGACATGTTTCATTTGTGAACATTGATGCAAAAATTCTAAATATATTATTAGACACTAAAAAGTAATACATCATGATTAAGTGCATTTATTTCAGAAATAGTAGGGTAGTTCAATATACGAAAATTGATTGTTACAATACATCCCATTAATAGATTAAGAAGAAAATTTCCTAGATGCAGAAAAGACATTTGACCAAATTCAACACTAATTCATGTTTAAAGCATTCCATAAAATTGGAATTAATAGATATTTCTTTAATATGATTTTATACAAATATAAATTTTAAAAATTTTGCCATCACCTTTTTTTCCCCTGTAGCTACAAAGTTGATTATAAAGTTCATTTGGTTGAAGCAAAAAGAACATTAGCTTGGACAATCAAGAAAAAGAAGAAGAATGAAGGAAGACTAGCTCTACCAGAGAGTAAAACATTTCAGTTTCTATAATTAAAGCAGTAGGATGTTGGTGCGTGAAAAGAGAGACACAACAGGGAAAAAAACCCAGAAAATTCAGAAATAGACCAAATAGATCATACTACATTCATTTGTATTCAATTCAATTATATTACATTACATTTATATCCAATAAGGCAACATCTCACATCAATGGGAAAAAAGATGGACTAATAAGCAAGATTGGGATAACTATATAACCATACAGAAAAGATAAAGCCGCATCCAGGGCCAGTCCCGTGCCTTAGCGGTTAAGTGTGCACGCTCCACTACTGGTGGCCCGGGTTGGATCCCAGGTGCGCACCGACACACCGCTTCTCCGGCCATGCTGAGGCCACGTCCCACATAGAGCAACTAGAAGGATGTGCAACTATGAGATACAACTGTCTACTGGGGCTTTGGGGGAAAAAAAAGGAGGAAGATTGGCAATAGATGTTAGCTCAGAGCCAGTATTCCTCAGCGAAAAGAGGAGGATTGGCATGGATGTTAGCTCAGGGCTGATCTTCCTCACACACACACACAAAAAACTGGATCCATTGCCTCATGCCATTCAAATTCCATATAGATTAGAAATGTAAAGGTAAAAAGTTAATCCCTATAAATAATAGAAGAAACATGGATAAATTCTTTGCAACCTGAAGGTAGAGGAAATATTTCTAAGATTTGAAAGAGAGTAAGGAAAAAGACTCATAAATTTGATTACATAAAAATCTAAAAGACAGTGTGAGGCAAAGAAACACCATAGACAAATTAAAACACAAATGTCAAAATAGGGAATAAAAATCTCCAAGTTATATCAAAGAGGGTTAATTTTCCTCTTAGACAAAGAAAATCTAAAAGTAGAGAAACAAAAGATAAACAACTTGATAGAAAATGGAGTAAGAGATATGAATAAACAGTTCAAAGAAAAAAAGGAATGTAAATGTCCCATGGATAGATAAAAAGATATTTGCATTCACTCATAATAGAGAAAAATAAATCAAAACATAGAAAAAAGAAAATAACTAAATTAACTAAATTAAAATTACACTGAGATACTACTCACCTACAGGTTTGGGAAAACTCCAAAAGTTTGCTGGCCTGATCTGTTGGTAAAGGTAAGGGGGAAGCAGGTCCTGTCCTACAGGGCTAGTGGGAATGGAAAACCAGCCCAAATCTACAGAGGAGAAGTTAGCAATATCTTGTAAAAGTACATGTGCATTTACCCTTTGATTAGCAATCCCAATTTTAGGATTTATTCCAAAGCTACACTGACAAAAATACAGAAAAAATTAGGCATAAGGCATTACATCACTATTTGTAATAGCAAAAGACCAAAACCCTATCAAATGCCCATTATCAGGGGACTGGTTGAATAAAATAAGTTATTCACATAGTTAAGTACTATCCAACTGTAAAGAGGAAGGAGAAATATCTCTATAGACCAGTATGGAGAGATCTCCAGGATATATCATTAAGTGCAAAAAGCAAAGCGAGGAAAATAATCTATAGTTTTCTAAGATTTCTCTGATAAGGAGGAATATGAACTACATATATAAAACAAAATATATATTTTTTCATATACATGAAAAAGCAGTGGCAGGATAATCTGAAAACTTTGTTGTTAGTCCTGTGGAGTCAATTCTGACTCCTGGTGACCCTGGGCACAGCAGAGCGGAACCCTGCCCAGTCTTTTTGCACCATTTCCTCACCTTCTGGCACTGCTATTGATAGGGTTTTCATGGCCAATACTTTCGGAAGTGGGTTGCCAGGTCCTTCTTCCTAGTCTGTCTGAGTCTGGATGCTCCACTGAAACCTGTCCACCAAGGGTCACCCTGCTGCTATTTGAAATAACAGTGGCATAGCTTTCAGTATCACAGCAACACGAAGTCACCAGACAGACGGTGGTCTGGTTCCCTGACTGGGAAATGAACCTGCCAAAACTTAACCGCTAGACCACCGGGGCTGGCTAATCTGAAAACTAAACAAACAAAAAGTTACTTACATAGGGATGGGAGGACCAGGGTGAGGAAACAGTGATAGAAGCTGGAAACTAGACTTTTTGGATATACTTAGATTTCATAGATTTGATCTTGAATTCATGTAAATAGTTTACAACAAAAATTACATGAAAAGATACTAGTAAAAATCAAAAGCAATGAAACAAATGAACCTAATTGTATTTGTGTGGTGGATGAACTACAGAAAGAATTGGCCCAAGAGATTTGAAAACGCAGTAATCTCATTGTCCACCCTAATGGGAAATAGGTTAAGGCCACAAAAAAAAAAAAAAAAAAAAAAGCAAAAGAATCTTAAATTGTTTTTAGGAATCTTATTCATAGTTATGTGTGTGTGCGTGTAGTTTTGAGGTCCACTGGAAAGGCTGATGAGCCCAGTAGCAATAAGTACCCTTACTGCCCAGATTGTGGTCTTCAAATGCCATTTCCCACCAAAAAAAATTAGGGCTATTAAGAAGAAGTACTGATTCCAGATCTGGGCCAGGAAAGGTACGAGTTGACCCTAGACCATCTTGCTATACTAGAAAGCCAGGATGCTATCAAAAATTACTGGGATCTTATCAAAGGGACTCAAGAGCCAACTTGAAGAGGCTCCAAGTGGACAAAGATGGGACAATTTGAGAATCAATAAGAATAATAATTCCAATGGATTGAAATATATGAGATGTGTTGAAATCCATGAGTTCATAAGAGTACCACCTCCTTAAAAGAAGTCAATTGTTCCTTTGGAGTATGCTAGGAAAGTGTCTAATCATTTGGAATCTTGACAAAAAAAGGGAAAGAATCAAGCATTTATCTTGTATTTCTTATATAACTGTACCTCATGGAAATGAAAGAATTGTTGAGGGGAAGTTTGTTTTCATAGGATTATTCCACCTAATAAATGAAGGAAGAATGACAGAATATCATAACTGGTGACCCTTAATGAAACAAATTTGCTGAAATCTGCCAACATCACAGAAAGAGAAACAACCAAACATCCTTCTGATGGAAGTTTCCAACTGCACCTCTGAAGCAGTCCCACCAAAAAAACAGTCAGACCTTAATCTGATTAAGCCTCTCCCTAAATATAAATTCACACAAAACACTAAAACCAGAAGAGCGTGTTAAATGATGTTTTGAGGATGTAATCAACAAAATGGACACTGTCCAATTCTGTTGGACAAAAACTACCCTTTTCTTAAGCAAAGATATTTTGCAGAAAGAGACAAGGAAGGTGAAAACCTATATATTAAGCTAACCTTAAGAAATATGGAACAATTGCAAGTTGTGGACCTTATTTGGATCTGACGTCAAACAATTTTAAAAATTATGAATAATCAGAGAAGTCTGAATACAATTGTTTTTTTTGTTGTTGTTAATATTTTTTAAAACTCTAGTTGCTTTTTGAAGTCTGATTATGGTAATATCTTTGAAATGGTGTTTATCTATCAGACACACATATTCAAACATCTACTGATAAAGTGACACAATGTCTGACATTTACTTCAAAATAATCTGAGGTGGACAGAGTGCTGAGTATATAGATAAAACAAGATGGGCATCAATTGATAATTGTTGAAGCTTTGTATAGGGTCATGAAAGTTCCTTATATTGTTCTCTTTATCTTTGGATAAGTTAAAAAATTTCCATAATAAAAAATTTAACCGGTATGTAGTATAACCACTACTGAATGTGTACCGTATACCAAGCACACTGAAAAATATGTTTTGTACACTATATCGTTTACTCTCCAAAAATAGCCTGAAAGGAAGCTAATTTTATTATTCTAATTTTTTAACTAAGGGAACTGATGTGGCTCAAAAATGCTGAGAAACTTGCCCAAGGTCATGGAGGTAACAGGAATTGGGCAGAGAGGGATCCAGTTCAAGGTCTGTCTGACTCCACCACGCTCCCTCTTAACCACTGAACACCACGGCCTCTTCTTGGTTCCTCTCAGGCCCATGGTTCTAAATTTAAGTTTACATCAGGTCAGAGATAGATCAGGGCAGGGCAGGGAAGACAGTCCACACTCCTTCCAGAAACGTGAACTGGCAGCAAGCCTGTAATTATGGAAGGCAATGAGGAGGGTTTCACATATGTTCTTTCTTTAGAGTAGCTCATCCTCTCCCCCTCCTCACCTCGTATCTTACAC